TATTTTTTTAACGGAACCAGGAGTTGAACTCAGGCCCCTATGCTTGCCAAGCAAGCGCTTATTCTACTGAGCCACCTCCCTGGCCCCCTTAATTTTTTAAAGAGAATAAAAAGTAGTAAAAAAATTTTAGAAATGAGAATTTCAACTAAGCAAATAATGGGAATTCAACAATGGTTGTCCTATTGCATGTTGTTGTCTTCAAATTAGTTGTTCAAAGTACCAGATATAAGCATACAAAATTGTTTTTGCTCCTTTCAATAGACCAGCAGCAATCAGCAGTACATTGTGGCTAAAATTAAGGACTACTTAGGCTAAATTAACTACTATTTAGGCTAAAATTAAGGACTATTTATTTTCTTGTTTAGCAAATAAAATAGACAGGGAAACATTAAAAAAAGCAATAAAAAGAATTTATGAGCTATAGAGTCAGACAGACCCAGTAACAAATCCAGGTTTTCTGGTACTGGGAGTAGAACTTGGGACCCTGTGCTTGCCAGGCAGATGCTCATGCCCCTGAGCTATCTCCCGACCACAGATCTTAGTTTTGTCATTAGCTGCACAATATGGAGAAATTACTGACCTTTTTGTCTCAGTGTCCTCTGTAAAATACTGCTTACCCAACACAGCTGCTGTGAGGACTGAATAAGGCAATAGGTAAACAATATGATGTAGCGCTAGTGTTGGCTCTCAATTTTTGAATGCAGTATTCAAATGTTTTCACATTCACTGTAAGGTAGCACATGATAATCAGTTAATAAATGTAAACACCGCATAAATATTTATGATAATAGTTTTGCTTTTATGATTTACTATAAAGCCATTTTCAGTTTTCATTATTTTTGTATTAATAAAAAGTTTTTTTTTTTTTTTTGCAGAACCGGGAATTGAACTCGGGCTGTTCCGTTTGCCAGGGAAGTGCTTATTCCACTGGGCCATCTCTTCACCCCTCAATAAAAAGGTTTTTTTTTTAAGTCTAGGGCTAGGAGACAGCTCAGTGGTGTAAGCACCTGCCTGGCAAGCTCACGGTCTGGAGTTTGATCCCTGGTACCCCCCAAAAAATGTCTACACTGAAAAATTATTTCAGAAATCAGCCAAGCAACAAGAATATTTTGGGGCTTTTTTAGTATTTTTATGGAAATGGGATATTTGTTTGCACATAAAAGTGTGAAGAATCAGTATTTTGCTAAAGCGTAGCTGCTAGTGATTTCCACATTAGATTATGATTTTCCTTTAAGCGATTATTGTAAACTCCCTCATGCCGCCCTGTCACTGAAAGTCTTGTACTTCCTATTAAGTCTTGAAGTTAAGGAAGCTTCTTAACTCTATGGAGTTAATCAAAGAATATTTTACTGGTTATGAGGTTTTTCTGATGCTTTTAGAAGTCCCGGAAAGTTCTTTAACAGGACAGGAGGTAGTTGGGGTAGAGCAAGGAGGTTTGGTGAGCACAGGGCTGCGGTCCTGTAACCTCCAGAGCTCTGTGTGTCCCAGTACACAAGTGGTGGCCAGCGGTCAGCTGCATACTCCAGAGCAGCTGCTAGACATGCTGACTGCTCAGGTGACAGTGTGCCGCTTGCCCCGGTCTGAGCATCACACGGTGTACAGTGTACAGAACTGTCACACCTTACCTTATAAATGTGTAAATCATGTTAATCAGATACATCAATTTTTTAACTACAAAAAATTTAAATTTACATATTCTTTTACACTACATAAACTATATATTTAGAGTATAAATTATGATCATATTGTGGGAAAGTTAAAAATTAATTTCATTTTACATGCCAAGAATGCCCTGCTTACACTTCTGTTTTTTTCCGGTTTGCATAGTTTTGGTATACTCTGTGTGCTGAGATGTTGTTCCCTACACTGCCCATAAATTCTGGCTATGTCGAAACCTCAAGAAGCAGGTAGGAGTCATTTTTCCAAGAAGAGTAACCCTAGCTCCTCCCCACCCAGGCTGCTCTGACTCTTCCACGCAGACCCTTCCTGCACTGTTCGACTGTGATACCGATCGTGGCCCTGGCCCTGAAGTTCCTGGTGCACCTTCTTAAGCTCAGAGACTCGTGGTGCCGTCTTCCCTGGATGGTATTTGTGTCTTGGACCTCACACCATATTCGAGATGGAATTCGCCATGGCTTGTGGCTGTGCCCCTTTGGAAAGACTTCTCCTGTGCCCTTCTGGCTTTATGTGATAGCCACGTCATCTCTCCCTTCTATCTGCTCATTCATGATGGCTCTAGCAGGGACCAGACAAAGGCCATCTTCAAAACATGGCATTCCTATGGACGTCTGAAGGGACTGTGCTCTCAGAGGGACACATGCTTCAAAGGGTTGAAGCACTAAAGCAGGTTTTTAAAATCAAAGTTACTTATATTTCTTACTTTTTATAATTCCTGATTCTTCTTGGCTCAGAGAACAAGTATAATGTTTATTATTTGTTTATTTAAGTTGTAGAAGAAAGGGCCAATGAGATAGCTCAGTGAACTTAAGCACTTGCTTAGGCAAGCTCAGGGACGGGGTTCGATCCCCCCCCCCCAACACATGCCACACTGGCCCCGCCCCCAGGCACGCTGAGCCGCCACTGAGACTGGGAGTGGTGGCCCACGCCTGTAATCCCAGCACTGGGGAGGCTGAAAGCAGGAGGATCACTACAAGTCCACGCTGCATAGTGAGACCCTGTACCAAGTACATAAAAATAAACTTTAAAAGAAACAGACAAAAAACCAAAATTCCAAAACAGTATAACAAGAGTATAACAGTGGTTAACACATTGCATATTATTATCTATCTTTTTATACATACATATATATATATATATATATATATATATTCCGCACCTTTGCTTTCTCTTCCTTGTTCCCATTCCCCCAGTCAGTTGCTTTTCTCTTTGGATGTTTCTTCCCGTTTCACAATGTCTGTGCACACCTCGGATCTTCGCACTCGCAGCTTCCACAGTAGGGCCCAATACAGCGCTCACCCTTGTGCATCTGGTTCAGGGCACTCGTGTGTAGTCTCAGGTTGCACCATTTACTGTAAGTCTCTGCTTTCTCCCTCATTTTAAAATTATACTTGTTACATATCTTCGTCTCTTCTGTGTCACTCTAGTACAGTGTTAGACTTGATTGATTCTGATATATTTTCTTTACTGCTAACTTTGTTGGATTAGTGCCCAGTTAGCTGTCTGGAATTACATACATGTGGCAGCCCATTTCCTGATGAGAAGCTCAAATTTTAGTTTGGGTAATCTGTGCAAAGTTAGCCCCATCTTTGTACTCACATTTTCGGTTGAAGCAGTGAAATGGCCTGAGGTGGTGAACAGGACGCGTACAACGGGCTGGCGTGCGTGCGTGTGTTTAATGTATTTGATCCTGACTGAACTTTATTTGCAAAGTCCTTCGTGGGTTCCTGGTAAAAGCTACTTCAGAGTACTTGCAAAATATATTCATAAAAGATTGTGATATTACTTCTAGGTTATGATTACAAAAATCAATTTAGGAAATCATTATAACATGCTGTGGTTAATTTCACTGAAGTTGTATTTTTTAGTACTTTCGCCTGATAACCTTATGTTGATATTTAACTGTTTTAAAAAATATAACTAAAGTATACATAACTAAATTGAAAAAACTATTTGTCAGAAATAGTATTAACAAAATATTGATACTTGAATTTGAGTTCATGTAAAAAATAATGATCAATAATATTTCAAATGTTAACTCCAGATTGTGTCATTAAAATTATTTTAGTTGTTATTGGTTTGTTTATATTCTGTTCTAAAATATTGCACCAATTAAGTCATTTTAAGAAAAATCTGCCTGATACTGAGATACAAAGTATATTGTTTTCTTTTGTTTTTTAAATTTTTTTTATTATTTTATTTGTGTGTGTGTGTGTGTGTGTGTGTGTGGCCAGCTCAGCCCACCAGGGGGCGGGCTGGCTGGCATGTGGTGCTGGGGGATTGAACCGCAGTCCCTGTGCTTTGCTAAGCTTGTTCTAAGTAGGTGCTTTAGACCACTGAGCCATCTCATCAGCCCTCACCAGCTCTGTTTTCTTTTTTTTTAAATTTATTTGTGTGCGTGTGTGTGTGTGTGTGTCCAGCTCAGCCCACCAGGGGGCGGGGCTGGCTGGCATGTGGTGCTGCGGGATTGAACCGCGGTCCCTGTGCTTTGCTAAGCTTGTTCTAAGTAGGTGCTTTAGACCACTGAGCCATCTCACCAGCCCTCACCAGCTCTGTTTTCTTTTCTTTCTTTCTTTTTTTTTTTTTTTTTCCAGAACTGGGGATTGAATTCAGGTCCTTGTGCTTGCTAGGGAAGCACTTATTCTACTGAGCAATCTCCCAGACTCCTGCATATTGTTTTCAAAATAAAGTCATTAAAGTAAATTTAGGAAAAAGTCTTTGTTTTTCCTTTGTTCTTTCAGATTGATCTGTTAAACTCATTAACTGTGTTAGAGGAGAATTTAATTGCTGTAAACTTTACAAAGTTCATCTTACTCTGCACCTGCTTTTGCTGTGGTAAGTACCGCTGTTGTCTTTAGATTTTTTTTTTTTCCTTCAGATTTGTGATTCATGATGCTAGTGATCGTGTGTCTTATCCTTTAAGAAATGATGGATGGGTCAAGCAGCAGTGCCTTAGCCAAAGCAGTTTTCTTACACACTAGGTTAAACAGAATTCTTGAAATTGTTAGAGGGGCCGGGGAGATGGCTCAGTGGAATAAGCACTTCCCTGGCAAGTTCAAGGGCCTGAGTTCAATCCCCGGTTCAAAAGAAAGAAATTGTTAGGAAGATCAAAGCTCATTAGAGTAGCTGTGCTTATTCTTACTGTTAAATTGACTGCAGTCAGTTACGGATTATAATTAGATCTTAGCATCTCTTACTATCTTTCAAGAGTAATGATTTTATAACCCTGGTTGGAAGATAATAAACAAATTAATGGTGACAAATTTAATTAGGTTTTTTACAACATCTGATTTAAGCAGTCCATAAAAATAAAGGCAATGTCTTTGTAACTTTTTTGAAGTTGCAAAATTTTTCTCTCCTTTGTCTTTCTCCAAGAGAATATTGTTAAAATATAGTTCACATTGTCATTTTGAGGATTGTCCAACTTCCCTTTATGGGAGTAGAAATTTACTTACACTGTGGCTCCTGGCTCAGACTGTAACTACAGGTTTTGTGTGTGGTTTATCTTAGTCCTTACCTGAAGCCTATTCCCTGAAAGCGGTGCTCAGAGCGCCTAGGGAGCCAACAGCCAGCACCCTATACTGCTGTGGCTCCTGGTGATTAGGTTCCGTGTGTGGCGCAGTGTCTGAAAAGTTGGACTTCGTCTTGTTTGCCCCTTCTCGTAGGCCCCTTCCGGGTAGGGTTTCTCTCAGGCCCTTCCCAGCCCACTGTTTTCTTGGCCTGGAGCTTCGGCTTTTTTTGAGAAGGTTTCTGCTGCTGACCCCGTTTCTGCTCACCTGCAAGGTTGCCCCTGATAACAAGCTGTGCAGAAGAGGCCCAGAGAAGGCGTTCTGTCCAGCAGGATGACCCCAGTGCGCTTCAGCCAAGGCTCCCTTGTGTGTTGCGAGCTGTGCTGGGCCGACCTCGAGTTTCCTGGAGCACAGAGTGATGGGTTTGATCCCCAGGCCCGCCTGCAATGCTTTTTGTATTCCGTTACAAAGAAAGCAAGTGTTTTCTCACTTCACATTACTGGATGCATGAAGTCTCATTTATAATGTAACAGCTGCAGAGTTCACAGCCACCTTGCAGAATTTGGCGGCACCTAAGGCAAACGTCGGGAAGACGGAGTAGGTGACTCAAAACCCTGTGTGTGGAATCCTGTAAGTAATCACACAAGTGCTGTGGCCTTCTAAGCGTGAAACGTGGAGTGAGCTGGGCTATAAAGTATCCCCTAAGGCAGAGCTTTTGTGTCATTACATCAGACAGGGAAGCAGGAAAATGGAACTAGAATGATTCTAGCTAAGTAGCCCTAGCAGCGCGCAGCCTTCCAGTGCGTGGCAGGTGGGAGCAGATCCACGGGGGGGGCTGGAGGGGGGTGTGCCAGGTCAAGGGCACGGGCGCCAGGTGGAGGGCGCGGGCACCAGGCTGAGGAGCACCAGGCAGAGGGGCACCAGGTGGAGGGCGCGGTCGTGGAGAGCCTGCACTTGGGAGCTGATGCGGCCAGCAGTGTACAACAGGGCTGAAGAGGAGGCGTTCGTGCAGCCCTTGGCAGCCGGCATCCACTCTTCCAGTATTCCTGTGCCCTCTTTAGTGCCACTGTGTGCTCGTGTAGGACAAAGAGGAACTGAGCAGGACTTAACGTGTGGTGATCCCTGCTTATTGCGTGTGAAACGCGGCATCTGTGGCCAGGTGGCTAATAGCTTATGTGTCAAGCGGGCAGGCCAGTTTCCATTTGTTTTCCTGCCGTTTCTCGGGGCCGAATCATGACTTTAGAAAAAGATGTTGGTTTACATTTTAGTGATAAAAGGCAGCCTAAACTACACAGAGAAACCTGTCTCAGAAAAGAAAACAAAAGTACAGGGCTGGAGAGATAGCTCAGAGGTCTAAGCACCTGCCTGGCAAGTGCAAGGACCCAGGTATGATCCCTGGTGCTGCATACTGTGACAGCCCTACCCTTGGTGTGCCATGCTGGCCACCACAATCAACCTGTACTCCCAGCACTGGGGAGGCTGAGACGGAGGATATGAGTCTGAGTCATATAGTGAGACCCTGTACCGAATAAATAAAAATTTAAAAAAACAACAAAGAGGTTGATTCTGATGTTCTTTTGTAATGCGATTAAGGTATTTTGTGACTGTGGTACTTTTTACTTTGCAATTACATCAAGAAATGCTCCTGATTACTGAACATTGTTTTAATTATTGTAAGTTCTGTGGGAGAGCTTCCGGCTTCCCTGTGCCCACAGGACCTCTCCAGACCAAAACTCAGGAATGCCGCATGAGTGAGACCCTCTACCATGCCCTCAGGACCCCTCCATCTCTCCGGAGCCCCCACCCACAAGCCTGCCAAATGAGAATTTCTGCGAAGCTGTTGGGACCCCCAGATCCAGTCCAGCCTAGGCCTGGCTAGTGTGTGGGAGAGCTTCTGCGCTCCCCTGTGCCCCCTGGAGCAGGGGCACAACAGAGGGGCACCACAAATTCACTGTTGTGCTAGAGGGGTACAACAGGTTCACTTCCAAGGGCTGCAGCAGGAAGGAGCTAAACACAACAGCTAGGCCCAGGCCAGGCATAACTGGATAAACTCAAACTTAATAGATCTGCACCCAAATTTCAGTAGGTGCTAAGGTTATAACTGCACCAAAGCTCTACACCAAAGGTCAGAGGTCAGTGTTATAAGAAATGACAAAGACAAGGAGCAAAATGCAATGTCAGGCCTCCAGCCCACCCAGAACAAGTGCAGAGGACACTAGCTCGGCTGAAATATATGAATTAACAGTGTCAGAAGTAAAGAACAGCAGAAAGGTATAGGAGAACTCAGAGCAGAATGAATTTCTGAAA